GCCTTCCAGCGGGTGGAGTTACTTGCTTTGACCTTGTTTCTCATTTTTCATTAGCCAAAATACAAATGGGAATTATGGAGCCTGCTGTGGCAATTAATTGCAGTGATTATCTATAATGGCACCAGTGGAAATTACATCGGCAACGGATATGAACTTCAGGATATTCGGCTACTTGCAAGGCGATAGCCAAATAGAAAAGGAAAGAGACCTGATTAATGAAAATTGGAAAATTGATTGTTTTACAATCAAACTTCCTCTCCTTGCACGGCCTCTTAGTTGATCTTTAAATGCTTTTAAGCAATCCTGAATTGTTGGTGTACAACATAAGAGCATTCTAGTGAGTTGACGTCATGCGTGGCCTCCCCACATGCGGCTCATTTGATGTGAATGCAAGTCTCTCCAGAACATCTGTCAAAGATTAGCAGAGAAGTGAAATAGGCAGTTCTTCCCGTTCTTACGTTTCAGAGTAATCTGGCAGTCATTTTCCGAGTGAAGTATGAAAAAGCCTGGCAAGTTTATCAGTCAGACGCATAACAGTAAAGCAGCTCTGTTCATGCCTGTTTTTTTGTGTTTTACACAGTGAGTGACAAAAGGCCAACACGAATGAGGAACTTGAATAACTTTGGGAGAGGGGCAGGGGGCGGGGTGGGTGTCACCAGTAAAAAAATGGTTGGAAAATGTCCAAAACAAGACTGTGTGCAGAGACGACAAATTCACTATACGCTCACGCTACTGTCGTGACCTTTCTTCTCTCATCCCGTCTCTCCGGCTGCTCTCAAAAAATAAACGTGGCGCGACTTTCAGCTCGCTCAAATAAAAACACTAACTGAACAAGAGTTACATTTCTACTTACACGCATTCTAATCATGGCAGCCGGCTTGCAGCGACAGAATAAAGATGACAGACCTTTGGACTAAAAGCACCACCATCACTGAAACATTAAGAAGGCCTTCGGTTGAGAAAAAAAAGGGCTTAAAGCCTCCCAACTAGTAGGTGCAATTTGTAATCACTGTGTTGCCCTGTTTCTCTTATTGCACTGCAGGCTTGGGATTTGCATTGTCCATTCATCGTGTGTGTGCGTGTGTGTGTGTGTGTGTTTTGAGAGATTTGCCTCTGCATCATCAAGTGCAAATTAATTGCGCCTGTCAATTAAAGTGAAAGTGGAAGCCATTTGAGGGTTTACGCAACTGCAACACGATACGAAGGTTCATTCCGTTTCCATTTAACTCGCCACCTGACTGATAAATTCTTTAAAAATCTTACAGTGCCAGTCCCCTGAAACCTATCTGGCAAATTCCACACCTCGTGGCAATTTTTCGAAGCATATTCAGCACATAACGAGCGTGGCAGTGACCGACTCGAAATGATCAACACGATTATCAAAACATAACCCTAATGCTTGGTATCTAGCTGCGGTATTGGGGAAACGTCAGGTGTCGGTGGTTGTGTGTGTGTGTGTGTGTGTGTGTGTGTGTGTGTGTGTGTGTGTGTGTTTCAGACGCAAACACATCAAGATGTCACTTCATAACCTCTGGCTCAGGAGGCTTCTGTCATCTTCCCATTTGTGATATCCTCGGCCTGGCCCTGCAGACATGCTAAATATAGAATGGGGACAAAATTTGCTGTTTGTAGCCACTGCTCTGCTCATCTACATTGAACACAAGCTGTGTGCCTTGACACCGCCATCTTCTCCAAGTGTCATGCATGCAAACAAGAGCTTCGCAGGCCAGTCATTCTACCACCAGACCGCAGCCTCATGTTTGCAGGCTCTGGATCTCCTAAAATGATTGACGCACGCATCTCATTCTTGGGAATTATATTCCTGCCAAGTTTGTTATGATGTCTTGGAGAGTGATACCCCCATTCCCAATCAATCGCTGGAGGACAGATGGCCACTCCATTGTCGGTCCACTTTACCTGTGTGAGTCAAGCCTTCCAGCGGGTGGAGTTACTTGCTTTGACCTTGTTTCTCATTTTTCATTAGCCAAAATACAAATGGGAATTATGGAGCCTGCTGTGGCAATTAATTGCAGTGATTATCTATAATGGCACCAGTGGAAATTACATCGGCAACGGATATGAACTTCAGGATATTCGGCTACTTGCAAGGCGATAGCCAAATAGAAAAGGAAAGAGACCTGATTTATGAAAATTGGAAAATTGATTGTTTTACAATCAAACTTCCTCTCCTTGCACGGCCTCTTAGTTGATCTTTAAATGCTTTTAATCTGGTAGGCGGAACATTTATTTTTAAGTCGCAGCAAAAACAACTAGCCTTTATATAGTTTGATAGATCATTTCAGTCAGGAAAAACGATGTTTTTGCTGACATTATTAAATGCAATACACATAAAGTAGGACGAAACTTTACTGTACGTTTTGGGCTAGTAAAATTCAGGAGTGGAAGGGCCTGCCTGGGAAAAAAGAAGATAAAAATAGGAGACAAAAGTTGTCGCGTATTATGACACTAAACTGGTGTGTTGAGAAGACTTAAAAAAGTGTTACTTGTAATATCCCCACCAGTTCTCAGTTTTAGTTTATGTTCACAATATTACAAGTTTATTGTGGTGACAATTCTGTCTTAAGTCTTGTAAATTATTCAAAAAATATATATAATAATAATAATTGAAAGACTTTGTCATTTGAATTGCTTTTGTTTGATGTATTGTTTTTGTGGTTTTTCGATTTGTGTTTGCAATGACCTCGTGTCCCGCGCAGCAGACGTTTTGATGCATTGTCGCATCGAATGCCAAATGCATTGTGCAAACTGTCCATTGTGATTTGATATTGTTATAATAACGTTTGAAAACATAGTTATCACATGTAATGTTACATCACACGCAAAGTATTACGATATCGATACATGGTCTTGGAAGAAAAAGGTAAAAATGCCAATTGTGATTCTCAGGGATGAAAAAAAAATGTCCAAACAACTCGTGTTATGTTACGACTATATAGTTGAACCTCTAATTGTGACTTTGGAAATGACTGTTAGATTTGTTCATTCTATTTTCTTGCCCATTGTTATTTAAGAATAGTGCACAGTGTTGTAACCAAGAGTCATTAGATGGCAGGCACCCTCAGGGAATTCTCAGTTTTGTTCTTACTGTTATGTTGGTTCATAGTCTTTTCCACCTGACTGAGAAAGATCGTTTACCTTTATGTGGTAAATAAGTGATTTAAATTTGGCCATTATTGCCTAATGTCATAAATGGCACATGAATGATGGAAATTGCATTGCTTATGGGTGGCCCATCTTTTTAAATAAGATTTACTGTGACACAATTGAGTTAATGAAACCAATGATTGTAGACGAGACTAGTCGAAAAATGGCATACCGGTCGGCCCCTCTGTGCTGCAGGAGAAAAAAAAGTATATACAGTATACACATACTGTATACACACACACACACACCCACACACACACACAATGAGAGCATGCCATCGGTGTTATGTTATCATCACTATAGTCACTTTGATCATTGTTAAGTCGAGCTAAAATCCCCCAATAGCCAAAACACACCAGGCGTGATGAGGTAAACCAAAAAATGTGCTTGTATGCAAAGACTACAGCAGAGTCAGCTGCTGCAGTTAATGTGCGGTCTTAGCGACCAGCTCCACTGGACATTTGGGAGCATCGTGTAATGGGAATTTGACATCTAAAAGTGCTCAAATGTACCTACACCTCACCTCAGCACATCACCACAGATACAATTCTATTCCCTTCAATTGCAGCTCCTCTTTATCTCTTCAAATCTCAAAAGTGATTGGGAACACACCCAGATTGCGTCCATTGTGAGTAACTGAGCACAATACATTTGCAGTATATACTGTACATAAGTAATTAACAACACCAATTAAAAAAATCCCCATGGAGCATGAACAAAGCATTCTCTGTACACCTAAACGAAAGATATGAAATTTTAAACACAAAGCCTGCAGTCTATTGACTCCTCTCCAAACTGCAAGTGTCCCACACTTCAACAAGAGTTTTGGAGTCTGACCAGACAAAACAAGCCTGCAGAGCTTCGGTGGTCTAACAGAAAGCACACAGGGGATTCCAAACTTTTGCATGAGCAAAGAAACCCCGGCTTGTTTGTACACTCTTACTGCATACTTCTAGGTTTAAATCACACCAATTCCCAAAATGGGTCTTTCTTCTCATTTGACTGCAGGTGATGAAAGAGAAGCGGGAGGAGGTATGAGACATCTTACTGGAAGTCAGTTTGTACACACTGTCTCACTGGGCTACATTAAGTCCCAGCCAGAGGAGTCATAGTGGAATTAAAGTGTCCTTAATTGAGTTCGGAGCCTGCTGGATATGCTTCTTCTTGGTGCATTACTACAATCAGTAGTAGTCTTCATGTGCAGTGCAAGAACACAGTGTTGGTATTTAAAAAAAAATAAATGCAGCTACAGTGCAGCGAGAATGAACAAAGAGACTGGAATTTGTTGAATGCTTTTTGTGATTATTATCATTAAGTATATCCCAAAACTGTTGGTGGCATAAAACAGTCCATATCTCAATAAATGATTTTTTGTTTTTTTGTCTGGGGAAAATGGGGGTCAAACTACATAAAACGGCACGCCTGAATGCCAAAATACGCAAGCCTAATTAACCTTTAGCGAGTAAAAATCCAATGTCATAACAAAAGCAAATTTACAAAAGAATAGTCAAGCTAACTTTTTAAGGTCCTCCACTAATTGTGTTCCCATCACTCAAACAGATGTATGTACTTGCAATGGACGAAGAGGGTCGACGACAAAAGAAAATAATTATTTATATTTTCGGTGACATCATTTGGCTGGTGCCAGATGTGTTGTGAAGGACTCTCTTATGATACAGAAAGAAATGATTGACATCATCTCACGTCATGCACGAGGAGAATGTTCCTCGTTGCCTTTGTCTCGTTAATTGCTCATGTATTTTGTTTTTAAAAAAAACACACACACACACGCACACACACATACACACACACACAAGGAAGGTGAAGCGACTTACCCAGAAAAAAATAGCGAAACGTTGCAGACATCGCGGCTGGAAATCCCACATACAAAAAAGGAGGTGGAAACAATGCGCCGAGGACGCCGCCTCATTCACGCGCGAATGACGATTGAGACGAGAGCGAATGTCAGCAAAAGAGCACCAAAATGTTGACACGGGGAGATCATGTGTCTCCGTGAGCCTTCGATGTCATCGTTCTCGTGGCGGAACACGCGCGGACAAACACTTGGCCTCGGATCAAAGTTCCTCCCTCTCTCCCCGCAACCAGAAAGCTTTCTGCGTGGTGGCTGTGGCGTGGGACGTGTCGTGTGCGGGGTCTACTCGGTCTCCTCCTCACACGAGGCTCTCCTCCTTTGGCTCCTCCGCTGCACAAAATACCAGCGAGGAGGAGGAGGAGGGAGAGGAGGAGGAGGAGGGCGAAAAGGTGGATGATGATGCTGAAGGATGGAGACCTCTAGAGTCTGAACTTCTCTTGCACAGCATCGTGCACAACAATGGATTTCTGGTTGACTGTTTTTCGGGTTGAAATATTATTCGTTGTAGTGGCTTTGCAATGCAAACTGCAGTTAGTCGCGAATTTGCAGATAATGACCCTCAGTTCCAATTGACAATGTCAGATGGCAATTCAACAATATGCTGATTATTTCAGCCGATTGTGGCAGTGGAGAATAATAAGAGTTGCGATCGACAAACCCCAATTCCAATTAAGTTGGGGCATTGTGAAAAATGTAACGAAAAAACAATACCTCCAACCACCCATTTTCTAATCGGCTTACCCTCGGTGGGGATTCCTCAAAAAATGAAATATGACTTTGGCATTTATACTTTGTAGCTGACAATATGCATAGTAAATTGCTTGTTAATACATATATGAATACATATTTATTTGTGTGTGTGTTTTTTTTTTTTTTTTTTTTTTTTACTTTTTCAGTCATGTAAGTCGGAGAAGATCAAAGATGAAATGCTGCATGTTCTAATTTCAAAACGCTCGATATATATTCTCCAGGGCTATTTATAGTTTTCAGGCAGCAATGACGCATAGTTGTGATCAAAGACATTTGAATACATCTGATAGAAAACTGGTTGAATTTTATTTTCTTTATGATGGGGATTATGTGATCTGACCTTTCCCCTGCAAAAAAAAAAAAAAAAAAAAAGTACACATTTATGGACCCAACACTACCTCCATCAACTCTTGGTTAAAGAAAATGGTCTCATCCAAGTAGAGAACGTTTTTCTACTCTCAGACTTGAAAGAAATGAATCCCCCTCTACAGTTTCCCAACAATCGACAGAAATGACAAAAGGCTTCTCACTCCTCTGTTTTCCCTCTCGCTCTCTTTCTCTCCCCCCTCAAGAGGTGCTCGTCAGCCTCAGCACCAGCCTTCCTCCATTCCTTCCGCTCTTTCCGTTCCAATAACTAGATAGCTTGAAACAAGGTCTCGCGTGCACTCACTCACAAAGCACAGAAAGCAACATGCACACAGACATCACTTGATGGGAGACAGAGCGACAAATACGCAACATAATTCAAGGTGCAAGAGGAAGATAAGATGCAGCAAAGTGGTGTCTTCGGTCCTGTGGACTACTGACAGCACACTCCACGGTGTTTTTTCCTTCTCGTTGGTTTATTTTTTCTGTGGATTTAAAAAGGTCATATCAGAAAATCTGTATCAAAGTGTAGTAAAGCAACACCGCTACTTGAGAACTAATGTCAAAAAGATGATGGATGGCTCCTTTTAAGACATTTTTTTTCTGCAATTGCAGCTGTTATGAAAGTTCTGACGAAAAATAAAACAACAACAAAAGCAAATGAAAATTGGATTTTCAGTGTTTCCCGAAAAGCAGCAGACTCTCATGGCAAAGTACAGTCAACCTCCAAATGTGTACTTTTATAAGGTCGTACAATTTTGCAACCAAACAAAATGACAGGGAGTAAAATGACATTAAAGATCATGAAATATATGGGCGTCCCATAAGTCTCTATACAGAGGAGAAATAAAATATTCCATACATGATTATAGACAACAATCTTCGCACTTCAGAAGATGCAGGTTTGACCCCCTGGTCAGCACTGTAAAACCTTGCCACTTATAGTTCCAAGTCTGTCTGCCGGTCTGTGAATCTATCTTCTTTTTAAATAAAGTATTCTCTTTCTCAGTAGCAGCACAGAGATGCATGCGGACACTGAAGCTCTAGGCTCTATTCTCAGCTTGTGCTTTTCTTGCTGAGCTTGCATTTTTCACAGCGCTTGCATGGGTTTTGTTCTGGTATTCTGCATTATCAAAGCAGGCAAGTTAGGTTCATGGAAGACTGGGAACTGACAATTCGTGTAAATGATGTAATGGTGTACCCCACCGCTTGGTTCTTTTCATGTACCACCAATAAAATGAGCCTTGACATTGATCAAAAGTTCAGAAATATAACATGCCACTTTGTTATATTGCGTTTTTTTTTTAATTTAATTTTTTTTACACTAACAGGTCTGTAAATAAAGATGTATAAGGTCGTCTCAATAAGCCCCTGATATCCATCAACAACGGGTGTTTGTTATATTATACAGTGGCTTTTTTTTTCTTTATTGTCTAAAATATTTGGTCAAGATTTCATCAGGAAAAGGTTTGGACTTGATTAGGTTAGATAGGACAAGGTTAGACAAAGTCTACTCAATGGAATTACACACATTGCATCATGACTGCTCTTTTAAAAGATGACGCCGCTTTTGTGAAAACGGATGGCAGGTGGAGACAAAAATATGACACCAGCCCATTGTTGATTGTAGATCATTGTAGTTGAGCTGCATATATCACTTGCGGTCCAGTTGGTGCCATGAGAGGCAACCTGTCTATATTTGGTGGCTTGGCCTTAGTGTATGATATAGCACCACAATGCAGATGGCAACACAGATGGCTGATATTTATACCGCAGGGCTCTCAAAAGTCACTGGTGTGAAAACTGCTCTTTCTCCCAACACAACACGCTCATCCCCCATTTACTGTATTTCAATCTGCACTGAAAATATATCTTCATTTTTATGACATTAAAAATGAGGCATTCCAGCATACCTTTGTTTGCCTCATGGTTGCATTCCAAAAAAATATATGTGTTACTGAGGTGAGAAGGGTCATCGCCATGGTGAGTGCTGACTGAGCATCGACTGACGGTGATAGCGGTCCGTGATATCAGGGGACCAGCCGGGACAAATCTTCTGATAGCTTCAGTGCTATTTAGTCTCGGATGTAACACGGATGCATTGTTAAAACAGGGTGTCACCTGGATTTGACCGAGATTGGTTTCGATTTGAATTTGAATCCGCAACCTCACATCATGACTAAAGTTCACTGGCTACAGTTAAGACAATTTTCTTCAGCATCATTTTCCTCCTCGCTTGTAAGATGGAATCAAACTGCCCTAAGGTAGGCAAAACTTTCACATGATGTTATTTGATTAAAAAAAAAAAAAAAAAGCCTCAGAACTTTTGGGTTCCACTTGAGTGTTCTGTTTCATTTTTGTTGAAAGCACATTGCCAATAGTTGTATTCTGTGTGATTCCTCGTGCTAACTTGGGCTTCAAGGCCAATCGGGTTTATTAACATGTTTTGGATGAAGCAGGTGGAGGCAACTCGAGTGTGTCTTATTTTCGACTGTGAGAAGCACAGCTGACTCCATTCGGTCAAAGGAATGGGTGGAGGAAATCAGAACACCCAGTGAAAACCCATTCCTGCTTTGTGGCGTTTACGTGGATTTACAATTGTGATTGCAGCAACAAGACGCACTTCAGACGTGTGGGCTGAGAAGAGCACAAGCACTTCATCCAGTGTTACCGATTTGTTGATCCGCCCTCCAAACGACACGCAAAGCACATTAGGATGCCTAGCCTCAGCCACCTCGTTTCAATGGCCTCAGGGAATGAGAAATGGATAGTTAAAAGGATTCTTGAGGAGCAACGTGAATGTGGAAGAAAAATGTTTTGTTCGGGCCTTCGCTATTTTTAGGCGCCAGCATGATGTGTCACCGTTCGTGTTTCATGGCTCACGGATCCCTTATAATTTGATGTGAGAGAGGGCGGCCCCCCCCACGAGAGATTTATGGCGAGCATCTTGATGCAGCGTTGACCACTTGGCTTACATAGATTCAAATTGGATGTTTTTTTTGTTTTTTTTTAATCGGCTAGTGAAGAAGCTTCCTCCTCTCCTACCACCAAAAGAGATTCACAGTGTCAGATGCTCATCAAGCCAAAATGACAAATTAATTCTGGTCAAGGTTCTTATTTTCCTCTCTCTTGGAAGATGGCAGATTGATACACTGTCACACAGACCACAATGGGCCTTAATGAAATAATACTGTATGAATATTTTTATTAAGAAGCAAGCGTGGGTTGTCACATTGAGGTGCAAATGAATTGTTCTAGAATCTAAATGACCTAATTATATCGCATGATACCAAAGTGTGCTCAAAGGATATTCTAATGTAATCACCTAATTTAAGAAAGAGATACCTTTTTTAAAATATTTTTTTAAGATCTCAAAATGCAGTTACAAACACAACATTTGCACATGAAGCAAATAAAGCTGTGGCCTGTGTTCTGCACCAAAACCTTAACAAAAAGATATTGGCAGTGGCCAAATCGTAGCTGTGTCAAATGTATAAAAATCCATCCATCCATCCGTCGGCTCATTTTAGGGACAGATGTCTCTCATCCCGAAGCAAAGGCTGGTGTTTGGCCGTTTTCTCTTCTGTCTCGCTTGGCGGTCTGTGTTGCTGCTTCTACTGGTGGAAGCAGAGCACAGAATGTGGAAAACAATGAAATGCATGGACACATACATCACCGACACCCACTGCCCCCACCATTCGACAACTTCAGCACATCATCAAGTAAGTGGCGCATTTCCGAGGGTACAAATTTTATCTCCTGCTCATTTTAGACCCCAAAAAACTCATTGCAGCTTTTCGTATTATATCAAAGCCATCACTGGCTAATTTGACCATAAACCACCCACCCGCCATTTTCCCAAGTGAAAGCAGTAGTTCACGACTGCCAAACGTAACCCCCCCCCCAGCACCACTTTGACAACTGAGCCAAAAAACATTGTCACAATATGATCAGGAGCTTGTGTGTGTGCTAAAACTGCAGCTTTGCTTACCGTTTGTCTGCACCGCAATTGCCCACATAATTAATGATGCTCGGGCTGAGAAAAGTGTAATGTCTGGCCTATCACAATTGGTTAAAACAATCCAGGGTCAGCATGTTTAATGGTAGAAATGTTGCACTTTTTTCAATTGTGCCACTGAAGGTATGATCACAATGAAATATTGCCATGCGCAGCATTGCTTTCAACTGACGCATTGACAAAATTGCATGTAAGACGAAAAACATTTCTTGACGATCA